ATCCCCCTCGGAGCGAGGAAAGCCTCCGGTGCTCGCCGAGCACCAGCCCTCCTCAGTCTCCAGTCATGCTCCGGCGTGTCTCAGCCTCTCGTTTTCTCCATTAGGTTTTGGCATCCAGTCTCTCTCTGCCCCGCAGGAGTTTGCTCACTGACATCCCCTGTTAAACTGCCTCTTTCCTGATATACAGGGCCCTCCCTTCCTGTTCCAAATTTGACACCCTGGGAAGCTGCTTCTGCAAAAAACCTGGAGGTGTCACCACCAGCACTGGCCAGGAGTCCTCCATGCTCTCAGATCCCCCCCCACCGAGCATGAGGACCCCAGTTAAAGCCATGCTGGCAGCGTGGGGCAAAGCGCGGGGACAGAGGTAACACTTGAGATGGGGGCCCCAACCATCCTCCTGGTTTGGTGGCTGGGATGTGGCAGCACCACTTCTCCCCAGGCAATGCAGGATTGGTTTTCATCCAAAACAGCAACGGTCAAATGGCTCATGACGTGCCTGCGGCTTTGCAAAGCCTCCCCCCCCATCCTCCTGCACTGCCTGTGATAACCTCCGCTGGATTTCCAGCCCAAACCTGCTCCCGGCTGCTCTAACCCACTTCCCTCCACACCTCCTGCTCCCCAGATAGCCCAACAGCTTCCCCAGCTCCTTCCCTGCGCCATGTCCGAGTGTCTCCCTCCCCAGCACCCCTTTCCCAGGGGCTGGTGGCAGCCCAGGACCGTGATGCTGCTGGCTGAGATGTGGTCCCAGAGCGGGACAGCCCCAGCATCCCACACTGGTGCACAGAAAGACCTGGCAGCATGGATGGCACGTCCCCATCCCTGTCCCAGTCACACCCGGGACAAAAGCCCCTTGTAGCCGTCACCGTCCCGGCCTCGGGTGACCTTTCCCCATCAATGGGGCCCTGTGCACGGGGCGCTTGGTGCTTGCCCAGCTCCAAAGCGTGACGGGGAGTGGTTGTGCTCTCCCTTCCAGGGCCGGGGCTCACTGGGCTCTCCCAGAGCCGTCCCTTGCCTTTCCCACAGCCCGGCCGGCCCCTGCCCGCTGCCAGCTGTGACAGGGACACCCGGCATGGAGCGGGGTTCGGGGAGCCTCCGGCTCTTTTGTCACGGTGATAAGTGATGTGATGCAAAACAAGCGGGAGCTAGAGAGAGCGCTAACGGAAAGGGGCCGGGAGGAGAAAGGAGAGGTGTAACTGGGGGCTGGAGCTCTTCCAGCTTTGCAAATTAATTTTAATAAGAGATCTGTGTTCATCTGATCGTCTCCATGCGACCAAAGCTCCCCAGAAGTGGATGGAACGATATCTCTGTGGCCCAGAGGGATTCCCTGCCACCACCCGCACTGCTGCTGAGCACTGCTGCAGATCGGAGCAGGGTGGCACCCACAGCAGTTCTCCTCCAGCAAGCACGTCCATCCTCATCCCCACGGGTGAAGACCCCAGCAGCACCACAGGTCTCATCGGGACAGCCGGGAGGGGAGAAGATCCCCGGTGAGCAGGTGCGAAGTCCCCTGGCTGGGCACTGCCCCAGGGGGACGGTGCAAACCCACAGCCTGGAGAGAGGGACTGCCTGGGTCATTTTGTGAAACAAATCCTTTTTCTCATGTAAAAGACGCTCAGCTATGCTGCAAACAGATGTCAGGAATCCATCACCAGTTCTCCCTCCCTCCACCACGCCCACGGTCCTCGGGCCTCAGTTTCCCTCCTTAGCATTTGCCCGGTGCTTCCTGAGCCGGCGGGGAGAGCGGGAGGCATAGGCAGCGCTCCCATTACTCATCTGATTATTTATTTAGAGCTTGATGATTTGATTGCACTGAGCCGAATGCAGCCGCTCCATCTCCTGGCTTTGCTTATGGACGTGGAGTCGCGTCCCTCCGGAGCAGACAAAGGCTTTGCCGTTGTGCGGGAAGGAGAGCCTCTGTTATCTCTCTGCGAGCGCCTGCATGCAAATCTGATGAAGAATGATTGTTGAAAATCATAGATCACAGAAAACAGGACTGGAAGAGCCCCCAGGAGATTGGTTGTTTTATTCCTCTCCCTCCCTGGGGGCATCGCTTCTACCGGAGAGAAGCTGAGCTAAAACGTCCTAAAAATCCCAGCCATGCTCTCCATGTTTTCTCCATTTACCGGGAAGGTTGTCCTAACGTGTCACGCTGGCGGGATGTGCTGATGGGCACTGCAATTTTGTGCTGTGGCGTTGGGCAAGTGCAATGGTGGTGAAAGCACCCCAAAACGGGCATCGCTGCTTGCACAGCACCCTGCTCCTCCTGCCCAGAGGCACGGGGCCAGCCCTGGGGTGCTGGGCAGGATGGGGCATCCCACTGGGGCTCCCAGCAAGCACATGGTGTCATAATCCACAACAGGAAGGTCTGGCAGCCTTGGCAAATCCCACCTGCACCCGCAGCAAGCCCATTCAGGTGCAGGTGGTTGTGTCCTGAAGGCCATGAGCAGCCTGGAGGAGCCCCAGGGTGGAAGCGCTCCGCTGAGGATGCAAACCACATGCAGCTGTGCCCAGGCTTGCACAGAGCC